CGCCTCCCCTTACATCCCTTTCCCCCACCCCGCCGCCGGACCCGCCCTGGGCGAGTATAATTCAATTTCGGTTGTTTGCTTTGGCTTTTCGGGGTAGCTTTTATACGGGGTGATCCTTCATGCCGCTGACCGATTTCTCCTCCTTTTTTTTTTTGCAGGCTCTTGGCGATGGTGCCCTATCGTTCACTTCCTGCGAACCTTCTCTCTTTTGCTTCTCTCTCCCTCCCTCCCTTCCCTTCTCCCTACCTCTCTCCACCTCTCTGCCGCTTGGTGGACCGTATACTAATCTTCAGACTGAGAGACTGAGAGGGAGTGACAAATGGCCAGGGCAGACCGTGTGTCTTTCACTCGAACGTGGGTACTTTTCATTAGTTCTTCACCTGTTTTTATGTCGATATCAATCAAACACTCAAACCCGAGGTGAAAACGACTGTTAAACTTTGTGTCAGCCGTATGATCGATTACCTGCATTACCTCTGGAGTATCATCCGGATTTCCTTTCCTTGCTTTTTCTCTAGGATTACCCAGGATTACCCTAAAATTTTTCCTAATTAACCTGGATTTTTTCGAATTTCCTCAGATTCGAGCGGGCAACAACTCCCTTTTGATGTGTACACTCGGATTACACCTGCCGGATTACCTGAGGGCTGTCAGCCGGACTACCTTTGTCGTTCCCCTCGCTCAAACCGCATTCCTTAACACGTTCAGTGCGGCGTGACCCACACCGTGGGTCACAATAACATGGGATTGCCTACCCCCGCCGCACTCAACGTGTTAACTGTCAGTTTCCCATTATTCCATCGATTTCTCGTGCGATCCTTGGCGCTGCCTGGGCGTGGGCGGAGACGGGGCGCGCGCATGTGTGTTTGACGGCGACTCCGAGGGCGTGGTGTGTCGTGGCGTTTCCCGCCCGTGTGTTTGTATATATGTGCGAGATGGAGAGTGTGTGGGTGAGCCTGCGGGTGCGGGGGCGTGGACTGACCCTCAGATCGTAGAAAGGGCCAGCTGATGAACAGGCCTGTCAGCCCACAGGTCTAGCCGCAGGGGCGTTGCGTGGCTCGGCGGGGATGCGGTGAGGCGTATGGCTGCGCCGCGCCCTGCCCCACCATCCGCCCCACCCCGCCCACAGCGGGACAGGTTCACCCCCCGAGTAATGCGTCCCCACAGGGCCGAACAGGCATAAGCCAAGGGCGAAGCGGGGCGAGGGCCCGGGGAAGGTCGCCACGCCATGAGTCCCTTTGTGATCCTGGCAGCTGCAGGTCAGCAAACCCAACCGAATACACCCGAACTCCCAAACTCGTGCTAAAAATAAACGAGAAATTGTGTAATATTACTTTGGCCTTTTTATATCCTCAGATTGCCATCGCCATTGACTTGTGTCTTGCCACCATAAGCCAAGAGTTGAGAACACTTCGTGAAAATTTCCATAGTGGATTTTCACAAATCCATACCGGAAAATTATTCCATACCAAATTCCATTGTGGAAACGAGATTCCATATGGAAAAACCAGATCCATCTGGAAATTAACAGGAATTCCATATGGAATTTAAAGCTGGGTCGTAACTTACTTTTTTACAAGTTGTCATTGGCTGCTTCAGTCAGTTGTGTGGTAGGTTGATTAATAACTAACATAACGTCTACCAGTGCTGATAAAATGTTTTCAGTCAGTTTACTAACAGCTCCGCGTCCCTTTATATCCCACCCATTCTCCTTACTTCCCACGCATCGGTTGTCTATGTATCGGTTTTCATGAACCCTCCCGCCACCCCTTCCACTCCTTCCCCCCGCCCCCTTAATTCAACCTGCCCGCTCACCCACGCTACGCCACGCCGCGCCCCAGCTACGTGACGGGGTTTTACAGGGCCGTATGGCCGGGAGGGAGACCCTCACGTGGGATTGAAAATGGCTTGCGCCCGTTGAGCCTGCCGGAGCCTGCCGGAGCCCGCCGGAGCCGGCAGGATCGTGCTGTTTAGGGGACGCGCTGCCGGGTAAATGGGTCGGGTAATGACGGCGTGGGTATAGGGGCGTTTGTAACAACAGCGACAGTTTGGGGCGCGGCGAGTAGGTATCGGTATACATACCCCACCTCCAGCCCCAGTCCCCCCATACACATGGCAAAGGTGCAAAAAGAAAAGTTGCTGCCATTGGAAACTTTCGCAAAAATAACAACAATGTCTTCTTACTTTTTTGTTTATATTGGGCGACTGAAATACATAGAGATATTGCTTTTGATTGGGGGGGGGATGGGGTCTTTCACATGCTATTGCTACCACACGTGAGGTCAGGGTGGGACTGACCGTGTTAAAAAATAAAACGAAAAACATTTTAAATTTCCCATGAACAATATTGCATCTCATACTGCTTCGTAAAGCACCGTGGCAGTAAGGGCAAGGGTGGAGAGCCGTGTAGCGGAATTAAAAAATAATACGAGGTAAAGCGAAACCTCCCCCACATATTGTTCTCTCCCTCACCCCTTCTCTTTTTTTGTATGCAACTTCTTATTTTAAGGGTCGCAGGAGAGTTTATTCACCCACTACAGTACGGCATCTTTCATTCTTTTTCCGCCTCTCTCGAGGGGGTAACAGCAATACTAAGCGTCGGGCATACCGGGCTGCGTGGGGTCGAAAAATAGAGTTGCCGGAAAAAAAAGAATGTGGTGGGCGGAGCTGCAGACCGGACCCGTGCCACCTTGACTCTGTGCGCAGAGGACGCTAAAGGTGAGGGGAGAGGTGAGTTTGGGGGATGCGGGGCCGGGAGTCCGGGCAGGATAAATCATTTCGATTGCGCATTTCTGGCTTCCTGGGAGGAGCGTGGAGCGTGGGCTCGGGGGCCGTGCCGGGGGATGGGCTGGCTGGGGGGGTTGATTGCGGGTTGATCGCGCTGGTGTCTGTGGCCTCCCCACACCTTACCACCCCCTCCCTCC